CTGTCCATGTACATTCATAAAATTAGACAATGGGCCTGTTGACCCGCATGGGACAGGAAGGCCCTCACCGAGCATTCGATTGTACAAATTACGTAATGATTTTCGTGTGCGTGTCTTTCACCCTCGACTGTTTAGACAACATCTCCGAGTCACTGGTTTTGTCCTAACCGCTCCCTTTCCTGTTGTATTTAATGAGTAAACAAACATTCCTTTTTTTACGTAGCCAATCTTTAATAGGAATTAAGTAACATTTTAGGGTGGGGGTGGCGGAGGAGGAAGCGGTGCACAGTGGTTAGCGAAATTCCCTATGAATCTAGCCACCTGAGCTTGATTCCCAGCTATAACTCACATGAGTTGGCCAGTGATATCTGAACCGGTCCTGGGGCCCCTGTCTTCAACAACTGCACAAGCCGGCATGGTGAAATACGGTCATATAACAACAAATATCAATAAAAGAAGATTACTTTTAGTGGCTGCAACAGACAAGATTAGGAAAGGTGGTTTGTTACCAATCATCATTTGCAAGTTCTCCCCGTGGTCGCGTGGATTTTTTTTCCTGGTCCTCCGCATTAAAAAAAAAGCTTTTAAAGTGTTTGGCGACTATTCATTTGCACGCGATAAGCCACTTCGTTGAGCTATCATTTGTGGCCAGATCGCTTCTGAAAATAAGCTACATGGCTCAGTGGGCCTTACCTGGTAAAACTCGGCTACGTCAGTTCAATTCCTGGCCATAGCTAACATCAGTGACGAGTGGTAACTAAACCAATCCTTGGACCCCTGGCCCCTTAATAGCCCGTGCTGACCAGTATGGTGAGGTATGGTCAAACAAACTTTTGCAACAATTAGCATTATTATGAAGGGCCCGATAAGACGAGGTCATTATTTTTTTTAAAGGAGCTCTGGGTATAATAAATATATTACATCATAATGGCAAGTAACCGTTTATGCAACAAATTAGAACAGATAAATGTTGATTTAAAGCTTTCGTGACTGCAGTAATTCATATTCTTAGCTCTTTCGGTAAAGTCACGTTGAAGGGAAACAATAAAATAATAAAATATATATAAAACAATAAAAATTCTCACGACGTTTCGACCATAACGCAAATGATGACCGTTTGCGTTATGGTCGAAACGTCGTGAGAATTTGTATTGTTTTATATATTTTATTATTTTATTGTTTCCCTTCAACGTGACTTTACCGAAAGAGCTAAGACTAGAACAGATAAGTTAACGTGAAAATATCAAACATCACAGCAGCAGCAGCAAATAGGTGCAGGCAGGTTCATGCAGGGCTTTACACAGACAAGAAGCACGGCATCCTCCGGCAACGTCGGCATTCCAAGGTTCTTGTGAACAGTTGGCACAGAGTGGAACAAGGAATGATTCTTGATAGAGCCTTGGTTTGCCGGAAAACAAATTAAGCTCCCGCACCTCCGATTAGCAGAGTTGGATACGTACGGTGCGAAAGAAGTTCAACGTACATGCATACATACGAAGCTGGGATATCCGATTAATGAAGTGATAAAATACACAAGCATGCAATACACCTCGTTAGACATCTGACCCCTCCACATTAAACATTTTAACTATATTTAAAAAAAATGTACACTTCCCATCAACCACAAACCCTTCTGGGAGGCACTGGCCGAAACACGCAAGCTTTTGGCGCGGTTTCAACAGCGACGCTAATGATTATTCAGTGTTACGTATAATATAATAGTTCGTCGAACACGTCTGAAAAAGAGAGTACTTGCTTCTAGCGTTGGGCAGTTCACCAGCTTTGGTTCAGGCGGGTCTGTTGATGAGACGCTGCATGTCGAAACAGAAAGTGTAAAAAAAACACTTGATGGCCAACCAGAAAAAGTAGCCAATTGGATGTTTTGTCCACCTTTCTTGATAAGAGAGAAATGATTTAAAGCTTTCGTGACTGCAGTGATTCATATTCTTGGTTCTTTCGGTAAAGTCACGTTGAAGGGGAACAATAAAATAATAAATATATATATAAAACAATAAAATTCTCACGACGTTTCGACTGTAAGACAAACAGTCATCATCAGGTGTGAAAACCAACGGCAAGAAACTTTTAAATGAAGTGGCGGTTTGTATTTATTTATTTTTAAACGTTAGCACCACGGATAGCGATTTGACAGTTTGTTTAGAAGGACGAGTCCATCTATGTTCGGAAAAGAGGAGGGGGGAGACGAACAATTAATGTATGCTGTCTGAAAGCCACCGTAAGCGTGAACAATCAATTAACACCCGAAATGGTTTATCAAATCCTTCCAATGATTGCTAAGCCAGAATCCATCTTCTCGGTTGAAATTGTCTCTGTGTTTGTATATGTGGATAGCCTCATGAACGAATCTCTCATGGTTGCCAGATGGCTTGCAAACCAATACATACTTCACTTGGAATGGAACTTTCTACAAACAAACTGAGGGCACCCCAATGGGCTCCCCCTATCTCCGGTTATAGCCAACATTTTCATGGAGAAATTTGAGACTGACGGCATCCAGACTGCCACTCTGCGCCCAACCTTATGGAAGAGGTACGTGGATGACACTTTTGTCATCTGGCCACATGGCCGGCCTGCTCTAGACCAATTCTTCGACCACATCAATTCCATACACCCAGCCATCAGATGTACCATGGAAGTCGAAAAAGATGGCAAGCTACCTTTTTTGGATGTCCTAATAAAAAAGAGACCTGATGGTTCAATGAGCCACTCTGTCTACAGGAAAACTACCCATACGGATGCTTATTTGAAACCGGATTCCCACCATCATCCATCACAGAAGAATTATCTCATCAAGACTCTGCACCATAGAGCCCAATGCATATCCGACCAGGAACACCAAGCTCTTAAGGCTAGTGGTTACTCCGACTATACAATCCGCAAAGCTATCACTCAAACCATGAAGAAGGACCCTCTTGAGGAGCCTTTAAAGCCATCACTTTACCCTACATTGCGGGGATCACAAAAAAGATATCCATAATCTTGAATAAACACAAGATCCAGGTCCGTTTCAACACATTACAAAAAAAAATCCGTGATCTGGTTCCGTGTGTAAAAGATGTGATTCCGGACATACAGTACCCTGGTGTCTACAAACCAAGTTGCCTCTGTGGTAGTAGTTACATTGGAGAAACCAAACGACATGTCGCGGACCGCATTCGTGAACACAAAGCAGAACTTAAACACGGTAGGACCAACACCTCAGCCGTGGCAGATCACTGTTATAATTCAGTAGGCTCACGTGACATTGACTTCTCCAAGACAGAGGTTATTTGCAAGCCATCTGGCTATCATGAGAGATTCGTTCATGAGGCTATCCACATATACAAACACAGAGACAATTTCAACCGAGAAGATGGATTCTGGCTTTGCAATCATTGGAAGGATTTGATAAACCATTTCGGGTGTTAATTGATTGTTCATGCTTACGGTGGCTTTCAGACAGCATACATTAATTTTTCGTCTCCCCCCTCCTCTTTTCCGAACATAGATGGACTCTTCCTTCTAAACAAACTGACAAATCGCTATCCGTGGTGCGAACGTTTTAAAATAAATTAATAAAATACAAACCGCCACTTCATTTAAAATGTTCTTGCCGTTGGTTTTCACACCTGATGATGACTGTTTGTGTTACAGTCGAAACGTTGTGAGAATTGTATTGTTTTATATATTTTTTATTATTTTATTGTTTCCCTTCAATGTGACTTTACCAAAAGAACCAAGAATAAGAGAGAAATGCTCATTAAATACCAATAACAATAAAATATTTTTTTTTATTACAATAAAATAATATTTTTATTATTTTATTGTTTCCCTTCTACGTGACTTTACCGAAAGAACCAAGAATATGAATCCCCGCAGTCACGAAAGCTTTAAATCTTAAAATACCACGCTGTTGGACGTAGTCGGGCGAACCGACTTTTCAATGAATCAAACTTTTGACTTATTTCGCCAATAAGCCACTTTTCTTTCCAAATCTAAAATTACCTTCAAAATTACACTCTAGATGTATAATCACGGTGAATTTAAAATATTGACCTAAGATTGCCCAATTAGTGTATTTTGTTTAACGAAGTGAGACCTGAAGTCCAAAATAAAGTGCGGCAAATTGTATTCGTCATGAATTCCAATGTCGAGGTCTGCTAACCACGAGAATGCTTCGAGAGATTTCGCGTAACTGTGCGATTCCTGCTTTGGAGGAGATCCAGACTAAGAGTGGTTTGCTGCGTGGTCCATAGTTTGGGTTGCATAGCCCACAATCGCATTATTGCGGATTGTGTTTTTAATTTATTTTATTTTCCCAGATGTTTTTTTTTTACGAAGCAGATGTTGCGCATCAACGACTTGTTTGACGTTCTGATGCGGGGTTGATGGACCACAGCAATTGACTTTGTGGAATGTCCAACGCCAGGAGGGGGCGACGTTTGGGGTCTTGAATGAGATTGAAAAAAAGTTGAGGGGTCACCCTTTCTGGCAATGCATATATTATTATCATGTTTAAATTTCGACTGAAAACTTTCGTGACTGCAGGAATTCATATTCTTGGTTCTTTCGGTAAAGTCACGTAAATATAAAACAAAAACATATAAAATGAAAATAATAAAATAAACCGTAAAATTACAAATTTGAATAATAAACATAAAATAAAAATACAAATAATACATTGAAAATAATAAAAGCAAAAATAAAACCACGGTAAAATACAAATAGTAAAATAAAATATATATTTTTCAATTGAAAATAAAAGCAAAAAACTCACGAAGTTTCGATCGCTACACAAGCGGTCTTCATCAGGCGGAAAAGACCGCTTGTGTTGCGATCGAAACGTTCGTGGGTTTTTTTGCTTTTATTATTTTCAATTTATTTTATTAAAAATATATTTTTTCTTTTATTTTACTGTGGGTTTTTTTCGCTTTTATTTTCAATTAATAATTTGTATTTTTTAAATTTAATTTCACTTAAAAAATTCAATTTACGTGACTTTACCGAAAGAACCAAGAATATTACCATGTTTAATTGCATGTTTACCACAAGTACCGTTGTGTGGTTAATACCTTGCTATTTGGCGTTTGAACACCTGCTGTTTTGTTGCCAAAAAGGCTAAAACCTCTTCTTATTTTTTCATACTTTGCTACTGGCAACAAAAAAGGTCCCATTTTTTGGAACGAGGTTGTTTATTTCGGACGTCTATTGTACAGAAATTAATACTCCATCCTGAAATCAGAACGGGGGTGGGTGCTGAAACAACGGAATATAAATCGGAAGGAGAGAGAAAAAAACTCACGAGAGAATAAATCTAAAATAATATAATCCAGGCTACTGGAGGAATTTATTAAAAACAAAAAAAAGGATTTCAAACGTTTTATTCTTCGTTTTAGTTTCAGCCAATTTTAGCCGGCAAGAGACGCCGCGCAGGCGAGAGGGTCGGGGCGTGACGTCACTTCCGCTCGGGCCCAACTCCCGGCGAGCACCGCGCGCGGAGCTTCTTTTTTCCTCGTCGCCATTTCCTCTTCGCCTTCTCCCGCCGTGCGGTGTCTGTCACCTCCTCATACTCCTCCGCCTCGTTTGTATCTCTCCCCCACCGCTCTCTCCCTCTCCTTTAGTTCGTCTAATCGTCCTAGTCACCGTCTCACGCCTGCCGTGGTGTCTGTGCGGTGTGTGTGCGTGTGCGCGCGCGCGAGTTTGGTGCTGTGTGGAGCGCTTGTTGGTGTCGTCTTGAGTTCACGCCGTCGCAGCATCGCCATGTTCCGTCCTCGCGGGAACTCGAGCTTGCAGCAGCAGCAACAACAACAACAATACCGCGCGTCTACTCCCTCTCCTCACCACGGCGGCTTCGGGCCCACTCAAGGCGGCCAGCAGAGCACCGCGACCAGTCCCCGAGGAGCCATGCGCTTCGTCTCGGCGACGTCGCCGCAGACGGTCGGGTTTCAGCAGCAACAGCAGCTGATGATGATGCTGTACCAACAGCAGCAGCAGTTCAGTCCGCAGCAGCAGCAGTTCAGTCCGCAGCAGCAGCAGTTCAAGCAGCAGTGCTTCCAAACGCCGTCGCCGCGGTTCAGCCCATACGGACAGCAGCGGAGTCCTCGCGGTGCCCCGTGGCGCGGGGAGACGCCGAGGGGCCGAGCCTCCTGGCAACAGGTAACTACTGCACAGCACGGGGGAGCCGTGGCTTCGAAACCAACGAGGGTTTGACGATACGGCGTAAACACGTGGCTGATGACGGATAAGCTAGAAAGCATATTCGGGAAACATGCATGGGGTTAACGAATAGACGACCATAAACACGGTTAACGGATGCCTTATAAAGTGTACAAATTAACTAGAACCACTGCGTTATGTTTCAAAGAAGGTCCTTGGTAGACTACAAATTGTTCAGAATGCGGTAGGGTGCTCACCTGAACCACCTTCACGTAACCATATTTCCCCGGTTCACTCATAATTTACACTGGCTGCCGGTCTTGAAACGAGTAGAGTTCGAGTCTTCTACTCGTTTTTAAAGCTTTGCAAGGGCTTGCACCACCACATTCACGAGCCAACGCATCGGCACAATCTGCAGACTCTGCCCATCTTCTGTGCGTGCCTCGATCCTGGGGGGCTGCGTTCCTGGGGTCAGCGGGCGACTCGCTGTGTGCGCCTCGGTTGTGGAATTTTCCCTACCTTTGGAAATTCGTGTAACCGACAATGTGGATAACTTGATAAGTCGCGTCTAAAAACACATTTTCCGTTTATTCTATGTAGCGCGCTACTCTATCGGCCTTTCCTTAATCTTACAAAGGGCCCATTGAGACATTCGTGGAAGGCGCCTTACAGATGTTAATTATTAACATAACCAGAAATCGCTAAGAGTTAACTATTGTATAGGTTATAAACTATTCATGACCATGTGGGGTAATGCAGGGTGTTCAAATTATTAACTGCCTCGTATATAGCTGCAGGATATAATATACATTAATGCGAATATAAACTATAATAAAACGTCGTAAAGGTACATCAATGTGCATAATGCACTTTATGGTTTATAAACTGAACCTTATGGCGGTACCCCGGGGGTACCATAGTACCCCTGCTCTCGCATGATGTTCGTGATGCAGTCGTTGTTAGTGTGTTGATGGTCGGCGATGCGGCAATCGACTCATCTCGACGAGATGTACTCACAATGCACCGCCACGGTGCGTACCGCGAGCGTTCAGGGTTTCGGCGCAATCGACCTCGCTGCGTTTCGACATCGCGGAGTGTGGCACCGATTTCGGATCGATTGGTACCCCAGTCGCGGAGTTAAGTAACACCCCTGGACAAAAATAGTGTCCCAGAAATCAAATATTTAATTGCCTCGGGCATTTTGTGTTATTTGGTACCACGGGGTACCGCCGTAAGGATCAACTAACACCTCACGGGGTGTTAACATGATAACACTCGTGAAAGGGGTTTAGTTGCGAGGTTTTACGCGCACATCGAGGCTTCCGAGCCTATAAATACTGCACACGTGCCTTAGGTGATGCAGTTTCAGCCTTATGTCATGCAGAAAACGCCAAAAATTGGGCCACCGTTAGTTGATGTTGGCCGGTTATTGGTCCAACGGCCCACCAACGTTTGGCGCGTAACGTTTGAATGTTCATTTGTTTCCTCCACAGTGCTGCTCATAGCCGCAGCCCGGGTAAACGTTGGGTTGGAATTCTGCAGTCGCGTTGACTCGGGAGTTTCAACTTGATTATGAAATAATATCGTCTGCTGTGAACATAATCCGAGTGGCTTGGTTAGAATTTTTCATTGAACAAGCAGCCTTAGATCCTGAGTTTTAATCCATGCTTATACTAATCGAGGACTTCTGGTTCAGCAAACTTGAGTCTGTGATCAAAATACCCTACACTTTGCTTTTAGCCACGTTGAGCACTCGGAGTCGTTTTTAATCGACATATACACAGAACAAATCGTAGAAACAATTACATTGCCTTCAGGTTGCAGCATTAACCTATCAGGTACCCGTGGAATTAGCTTAATCCCTGAACTTTGTAACCGCGTCATATTTTTTTTAAGCAGTCAGGCGTAATTGTGACAAACGATTTCTCGTCCACAAGGGATCACCAAGGATGCCAGGCTCCCGCTCTCCGTGGCACGGCCGTGCGGACAGGGAGGCTAGTGTGGATTGCTATTACAAGAGCAGCATGGTGCAGGACCCCTGGAGGGGCCTAGTGCCCGTGTCTGTATCCGACGTGGAGGGCGGCAGGGACCGGGAGGTCAGTGGTAGGCACGCAGGACGCTATTTTGGCCGGCTCACGGCCTAAATTCGCTTCCGGGTACTGCAACCGTTCGTGCCCGCTAGAACATTTGTCCTGGCGTGCCGCAGCCACAAGAGCGGGCTATGTCGCCTTCCGATGCAGCAGCAGCAGCACATTCAGCAGCTGTTTGATCAGCATCACTCGTAAGGCGTATTTTATCGCTGAAAAAGTTTTTGTTTTCCCAAACAAAACGAGCTGTCCATTTCTACAACACGAAGAAATGTTCTTTGTATCTGTTATAATCTCAGCAAACGTTTTACTACTACTACAGCTGCACGCATTAAAATGCAGTCACAATGTATTGACATTTGTAAGAGTGGTTACAAATCTCGTGTTTAATACCAGATAGCCCATAGTTTACTTACGGCAGATATCCGCTTGGGAGTTGGGCCGTGAAGTTACATCACACAATAAACAAATTGGTTAATATTTAACATCACCTGATCCAACTAAAAATTGCGTATGTTAACCATCTGTGCACAATGTTGGCTAAAAGGGGAAATTCAACACTTCAAGACAACTTTTCTCAACAGAAACGTCCATCTGCTGTAAATTATTACGGGAAATAATTTCAAACAGGAGGTACATTTTGTGCAGTGTTCACCTCGGCATGGTATGTTTGATTTTATAAGCTAGCTAGGGTATATTTTGCTAAAAAAATAGTTACTGCATTACTTGAGCATTTACCCCCATGTATTCATGAGCTGTGTTAATTGCATGCATTAGATGTCTGACGCCAACACCAGCAACATAATTTTTGGTTTTAATTATGGGTTTGGTTTTTAAAGAGCTTATGGTAAATACATGAAGCTATTTCATACATTTAGTTCAACATTGAGTTTTTTCCCCCCAATAGGTGGTGTATTTATGTATATCATGAAACAAGGGCAGTTGATGACATTGATTAGTTGACATTTTTGAATGTAACTCCTGTAATACAAAACATTTTGTAGTTTTCTACCATCACTTTCCTGTATAAACAGTAGTATTTATTTTGACGAGAAGGCAGCTTTGCCAATTGTTTTGTAAATGTTACTGCTCAACAAAGATAAATAAGGGTTTTTGTAATAAAGATAAGTTTGTGTGTATCATTTAAAATACATTTGCCAACTGCTTCACTTACAACTGCACTACTACACAAGTGTGTAAGCGTGTCAATTACCCTGATGTTGATGATGAACACCAGCACTGACATGGTTATCAATATTTTTCATATTAATTATGAATGCCTCATGTTTAGCATTGTCACTTTCAAGTCACTGCAGAATTTCACAATTATATTGTATACCTCTCGTCATTAATGAAATAAGTACTGCCCATTTTCATTTATCAACACTGATGACGGTGAGTTGAAAATTGTGGAGAGGTGCATGCTTCAAATTACTAAAATAAAATGTTATTTTACCAGGTAAGGCCCACTGAGCTATATAGCTATTTTTCAGAGGCGACCTGGCCACAAATGATAGTTCAGTGAAGTGGGCTGTGTGGGAATTTAAAGCAGCCAAATACTCAAAACGTTTCAATATCTTGAGGGAAAAGCTGGAGGACCTGGAGAACAATCCACGCGACCACTGGGAGATCGTCCAACCAAATATACAGGTTTGGGATTGAACCCATACCCTGTGTATCAGGTGAGGTAGTTAACATCTCGCCATTGGTGAGGAAGAGGAACCCTTAGATTAAAAAAAAACACAATTGGTTTAGGCAGGACACGTGACTAGAAGGTATGATTGCCAGTGGTCGATGCTAACGGAGTGGTAGAATGAAAGAACACTCCAGAGGTTACGTCCACTACCGACTTATAAGAAAATGAAGTGACTGCTTGGGGAGGGAGGCCTTAATCCACCAATGCAGCTTAACCATATTCTGGCCCCGGGTGGAGAGAGAATTGGCAATCCCTTGTATGTACTTTGCACCGTACGTAGCTAATCGGAGGTGCAGGGCAAGGATAATAACTAAAAGAGCAGTTCTAAAGAAATGAGTTTTAGATTGAGGTGCATATCTCCAGTGGCTTAATATCGAAAGAAAGAGCGTTCCAGACGGCCGCAGAAGAGCATCTGCGCGCGAAGCAAGGATGACTGTGGAGTTCGCATTATGGTTTGTATTGTGCTTTATATCTGGCCAGCACTGTGATTATTGCCACCTTATAATGGTTCGTTCGGCAACCAGAAACCTATGCAGCTCTGCTAACAGTAGCTGGGGTGAATTGCAATAATCGAACCTTGTTGATGCAATACAGCGCCACCGTGTTGGATATAAAATTTTAAGGACCCGACTACATTTTGCACGTGGTTATGAAACGAAATTCTGATCGCGTGGTTCCGATGCCCTTTGAGTAAAAAAGTGAATCATGGAGTCTGTGACGAACACCCAAAATCTGCCAAGCTTTTGTCCCAACTGCGTGATTGTATCCATGTTTTAATTTGTGTCTCCCCATGTCTCTATCTTTGTGTGTCTGCCCAACTTGACCAAATTCAAACGTAACATCTCGGTCCGTCATTTTTTCCAGCTGCAACGATGAATGAAATCATGCTGTTATAGTTGTGCAACAGACTGCACTCCTTCGGGTGCTGAGCTTGATAATCTATGCGCTCCATCTTACGCGGGGCACGATAACGCTGCAAATTATCATTAATACAGCTAGTATAAGTTGCTGCTATTGGGGACTTCTGGAACACCCGCCAAATAGAGCGAGGACAAATGCTCGTGTTGTTTAGACGCTCTATCAATGTATTCTTGACCTGCTGCATTATTGTACAGACAACGTTATGTTTTTCTTACGCATACGTGTTCAATAAGGCTGGCTCTTATTGCAGGGCCATTGGAGGGAAAAATATCGTGTGTGTGTATGGTATTGCTTTTTATTTGCCAATAACATCTGATAACCCAGCGGCTATTGTTTAAATCATTGGAATGCTGACGAGACTCCTAAGGTGGAAACACGTTGAAAGCGTTCCGCTTGCTTCGACAGAAAGCTGCAGGATGTTCGGAAAGACAACGGGAGACTGATCCGACTAAAACGGGTTTTATTACACGACGGACATGGAGCAAAAAATATAAAAACTCACAATGTGTAAGTAACAAAAAAGCGACGTTTCAAGCTATACCTCTGATGTGTGGTGTGCTAACCACGGCGTGTAACAGTCGACGCGGCCTGTTATAGGTTCCAGTGCAAGTCCCGTACCAAGGGGCCGTCCGTAAATGACGTCACGCACCTAGGGGGGGGGGTGAGAAGTGTGACGTCACATCAAAATGCGCAACTTTAAATAGACAACACGTTCTACTTAATTAAATCGACTTTTAAATAAAAGTTTTCTACAACAACAGAGTGCAGCGCCACATTAAATACGCACTACAATTTTCTTGCAGTGGTTTTTCACACCTGATGATGGTTGCTTGTGTTGCAGTCGAAACGTGAGAATTTTTTATTTTATTGTTTCCCTTCTACGTGACTTCACCGAAAGAACCAAGAATATGAATCCCTGCAGTCACGAAAGCTTTAAATCAAAATTTTACAATGACAATAGTTTAAAGCGATTTGAAGCATGTTTTGGGGGGGGGCAGAGCTTTGTGACGTCATATTTGAGGGGGGATCAAGACTCGCGTAACGTCATTTATGGACTGCCCCCAATTAATAAAATATTTTCAATACGAGTGAATGATTTGATAATCCCTACCAATTTCAAATGGTCATCGCGTAATTCACCGGTAAGAGTGCTGCAGTAATAAAACAAAAAAATTGGATCCACCAAAGCTCTGCCGCCTCTGGTGGAGCCGGTCACGCGCAGCGGTGTCTTCTGAGCGTGACGTCATAACGAGATAACTGGGGGCTGGCGTTCATTGGTTGCGGTGTGACGTCACAATGCGGATCCGTTCGTTTACATTGGTTCCGGAGAACCTCAACTTTGGGTAAACGTTCGGGGTGGATTAATTGACATGCTAATGTCTGCTCCAGCAGCTGACCCACCTCTATTTAAGGCCTCGACACAGAGGCATTGGGTCTCTGTCTCTCTGTGTCTGCGTTGTCTGCGCGTGATGTCTGTGCTTTTTTCTCACATTTATTTCTACCGGATGACGGTTGCTTGTGTTGAAATCGAAACGTCGTACTCTATTATGTAATTTATTTTCATTCTACACGTCACTTTAATGAAAGAACCAAAGAGTAATTCCTGCAGTCACGAAAGCTTCAACTCAGGTTTTAACGTTACAATGTTGGCGCGTCCGCTTTGGCTGCGCCAACGCCGCACTCGCTGGCGGTGACGTCACCGCGCTGCGTACGTCGCGGCGTTGTCGGTGCGTCCCTACGTCATCGGATTCTCGTGCGCTCGCCCGATAGACGTCGTCAGTGGTCGCTTTTAACGCGTTGACGTCACGATGTTGACGTGCCGCTTCCAGCACGAGCTTTACGCGATGACGTCGCGGGCGTTCGCGATGACTTTACGGGCGTGCGCGATGACGTCGCGGGCGTACGCGCTGACGTCGCGGGCGCCGGGCGTTAATCTTCCTGGCGTCACGAGTACGGCGACGTTCCCGCCATTCATCCGCTCGCAATGGCCGCGTCAACCTCCTCGTCGCCGCTGCTGCTGCTGTCTCTGCTCTTCGTCACGGCGCTCGTAGCAGCGGAGCCGATCAAATTCAAAGACTGCGGTAAGTTGGCGGTAAAGCAGAGTGCGGTTGCGCAGTGGTGTTTTATAGTGTGAAGGGGGGTGTGTAATGTGTTGTGTCGCGTGCTGAGGTACAGTATATTAAGAGTACTGTATAGCGTGTGTAATGTTATAGTGTGTGCAGCGCATAGTGTGTAAAGTATCGTATGTGTAGGTAGGTGTCCTGTTGGTATAATATAGTTTGCAGTATAGTGTACAGCAGCGTGTAAGTAATGTGTGTGTGTTGGTGTTTGTAGGACTGTGATGTGTGCTTGTAATGTAATTGGTGTGTTTGTTTCACATGTGTATCTAATAGTACTTAAAAAGTACAAGTGTGTGGATGGTACTGCGCAGTGTTTTGTGGAGTATGTGTAATGCAGTGTTTACGCGTCTAGTATAAGGCAGTGAGTGGTAGCGAGGGTGGCCAGTTTACTATTAAATAGTTAAAAGTCCATAAAATTACCTCGTCATTTTCACATTGTTATATAACGCATTGTATACTATACTTGCTACAACAACATACAACACTTGGGTGTCTCTTATGAACAATGCGGAGCACTCATCCCTTGCATTCACTCCTTTGCCGGCTGTGAAGTACATTAGAGGAATTAACTGTTAATGTGCAAAACATTTCGAAACATCGCTTCCTTATCTTTACGTAAGTGAAATATATTTCCGTCTTTCAGACCTGGGTTAATCAGAAAAATAAAGGTTTTGTCCCCCATATCTGGACCTCATCAGAGCCAAGCGTGTTTTAACCCCGAAGACTTATTAGCTCACATCAGATGTTGTTGGTAAGTGCCATCTTTCTCCACGCCTTGGGCCGTCAGATAAATAGAGAATTTGCGTAATATTTTACCGAGCATTGTGGAACAGCTAAATGAGGGATACTAATAACGGAAGGTGAGTTATTGAAATACCTGTGCTGTAATCATTCTCGCCACTCAATCCATTGCACATTGAAAGCCTCGGCATGCGGGAAGGCGTGGGGGGGGAATTGATCACCGCCGATTAGCAGGGTTGGCTACGTACGGTGCGAAAGAAGTTCAACATACGACCATCACCGCGTTAGCCAATGTGGGTTTGTGAAAGGGGCTGGGGAGGGAGATGATCAGAACCGATTCCCCGTAACAGGGACTCGGAACTCGATTCAAAGGGGAGTGCCGGCTCGCCAAAGAGCCACCGCATTCACTCACGTAAGTGAAGCGTGCAGAATATGTTCATTCGTGAAAGAGGTGAATATCCAGGGTGTAGAGGTGAACGTGTGTAAATAAAGGGCGTGGATCGTGGCTCGGAACACAAAGGATCGCCATCCCTGAATGCGAACGGTGGGTGGAGCGTGTCCAAGAAAAAAAAACACGGGCAATGTGGGGGGACTCTGCCCATGACAGTAGGAACAGCAGCGCACACTGTTCTAGAAAAAAAAAATCCACTTTTGGATCCGTGTGCAGTTTAGTAACTGTTGTATGCACGAGGGATTTTGGTGGGGGAGGGGCCGAACCTCCAGATAGCAAATGTTTGGAACACTGTTGTCACACGTTTCATGTGTTGGAGAGATGCGTCGTCAAGATTTGAATCACGTGAATCTCGTAAGAGCAAAACTATCTCATCCTGCTACCCCCCCCCCCCCCCGAGTACGGGTCGGCACAAAAAAAACTGAACACAGCAATTTCACACTGCCCAGCGGCATGTTCAGTCTGTGCTTATCCGATTATGAGTTTAGAGCTGATGCGTGTTGACTGCATTTGTCAAACAACCACGTGAGGCTGACTCATGCCCTCCAAGTTTTCCATTTGCTCCACAAACCGCCTATCTTCCCGCCCCCACAGTCACGATTCTCTCCACTAGTTCGCTAAATGTCTCTCTGGATAATTCTGCGGCGTGCCAGCGGTGCTGCAATGGTTAGCGGACTGTGCTCTAAACTCCCTGGTCCAACCCAGTGGGTTTCTGCGCGGGGCCCCTCTTATCAAAGAGTCCCTTGCGCGGTCAGACGAACATTACAGAGTATTTAGTCGCAAATGTGGGCCTTGCTGTGTCTGCGTTGTCGCCCAAATCCCAATAATGATGACGAAATACGCGTAAATTGTAAACAAGTGAATAGTCCCAGAATAGTCTTAATAATTAATTGATTACATAAAATCCCAAATGGCATGTATCTAGTTAAACATACAGTACAGTTTTGTTCATGCAAACCCAGTCTGGAATGGTGGCACATTGGTTTAGCGCAGTGATCGGTGGACTGAAATGTGAACCCGGTGAGCCGAGTTAAATTAATGGACACGGCTAACATCAGTGGCCACCGAGAGGCATACCCACGCACAGAGAGAGACAACCACAGAGAGACAATCACACAGAGAGAGACAACACCTAAAAAGATACACAGAGAAACAGACACATACAGAGAGAGACGGACACATACAGAGACACAAACAGAGGGACACACCCAGAGAGAGACAGAAAGACACCCACACACCGAGACATACACACAAAGTGGCAAACCGAGAGACAGACACACACAAAGAGACACGAGAGAGACATATAAGGAGACGGAACACAGAGAGACACAACCGAGAGACACAAAGAGACACAACAACATCACAGGGCATTGCTGGTGTCTACAAACTAAATTGTGTCTGCGGTAGCAGTTACATTGGGGAAACGAAACGACATTGCTCGGGTCGTGTTTGCGAACACAAGGCAGATTTTAAACAGAGCAGAACCAATATCTCTGCCGTAGCTGGATTCCTGCAGTCACGAAAGCTTAAAATCAGGATTTAACAAGTATATCTCAGATGTGGCCTGGTGCCTCTTTTTGCTCTATGCTGATGTGTTGTCTGTCATAACTTTAAGCTGTTAGTACTTTGATGAATATATTTTTTAAACCCCATAATAAACATTTTTTTCTCACACTTCAGTTTACTGACCCGGAGATATACAGTGAGGGAAAAAAGTATTTGAACCCCTGCTGATTTTGTACGTTTGCTCACTGACAAAGAAATGATCAGTCTATAATTTTAATGGTAGGTTTATTTGAACAGTGAGAGACAGAATAACAACAAAAAATCCAGAAAAACGCATGTCAAAAATGTTATAAATTGATTTGCATTTTAATGAGGGAAACAAGTATTTGACCCCCTCTCAATCAGAAAGATTTCTGGCTCCCAGATGTCTTTTATACAGGTAACGGGCTGAGATTAGGAGCACACTCTTAAAGGGAGTGCTTCTTATCTCAGCTTGTTAACTGTATAAAAGACACCTGTCCACAGAAGCAATCAATCAGATTCCAAACTTTCCACCATGGCCAAGACCAAAGAGCTCTCCAAGGATGTCAGGGACAAGATTGTAGACCTACACAAGGCTGGAATGGGCTACAAGACCATTGCCAAGCAGCTTGGTAAGAAGGTGACAACAGTTGGTGTGATTATTCGCAAATGGAAGAAACACAAAAGAACTGTCAATCTCCCTCGGCCTGAGGCTGCATGCAAGATCTCACCTCGCTTACAGTGAGGGAAAAAAATATTTGATCCCTTGCTGATTTTGTACGTTTGCCCACTGACAAATAAATGATCAGTCTATAATTTTAATGGTAGGTTTATTTGAACAGTGAGAGACAGAATAACAACAAAAAAATCCAGAAAAACGCACGTCAAAAATGTTATGAATTGATTTGCATTTTAATGAAGGAAATAAGTATTTGACCCCTCTGCAAAACATGACTTAGTACTTGGTGGCAAAACCCTTGTTGGCAATCACAGAGGCCAGACGTTTCTTGTAGTTGAACACCAGGTTTGCGCACATCTCAGGAGGGATTTTGTCCCACTTCTCTTTGCAGATCTTCTCCAAGTCATTAAGGTTTCGAGGCTGACGTTTGGCAACTCGAACCTTCAGCTCCCTCCACAGATTTTCTATAGGATTAAGGTCTGGAGACTGGCTAGACCACTCCAGGACCTTAATGTGCTTCATCTTGAGCCACTCCTTTGTTGCCTTGGCCGTGTGTTTTGGGTCGTTGTCATGCTGAAATACCCATCCACGACCCATTTTCAATGCCCTGGCTGAGGAAAGGAGGTTCTCGCCCAATATTTGACGGTACATGGCCCCGTCCATCGTCCCTTTGATGCGGTGAAGTTGTCCTGTCCCCTTAGCAGAAGAACACCCCTAAAGCATAATGTTTCCACCTCCATGTTTGACGGTGGGGATGGTGTTCTTGGGGTCATAGGCAGCATTCTTCCTCCTTCAAACACGAGTTGAGTTGATGCCAAAGAGCTCCATTTTGGTCTCATCTGACCACAACACTTTCACCCAGTTGTCCTCTGAATCATTCAGATGTTCATTGGCAAACTTCAGACGGGCATGTATATGTGCTTTCTTGAGCAAGGGGACCTTGCGGGCGCTGCAGGATTTCAGTCCTTCACGGCGTAGTGTGTTACCAATTGTTTTCTTGGTGACTATGGTCCCAGCTGCCTTGAGATCATTGACAAGATCCTCCCGTGTAGTTCTGGGCTGATTCCTCACCGTTATCATGATCATTGCACCTCCACGAGGTGAGATCTTGCATGGAGCCCCAGGCCGAGGGAGATTGACAGTTCTTTTGTGTTTCTTCCATTTGCGAATAATCACACCAACTGATGTCACCTTCTCACCAAGCTGCTTGGCAATGTTCTTGTAGCCCATTCCAGCCTTGTGTAGGTCTACAATCTTGTCCCTGACATCCTTGGAGAGCTCTTTGGTCTTGACCATGGTGGAAAGTTTGTAATCTGATTGATTGATTGCTTCTGTGGACAGGTGTCTTTTATACAGGTAACAAGCTGAGATTAGAAGCACTCCCTTTAAGAGTGTGCTCCTAATCTCAGCCCGTTACCTGTATAAAAGACATCTGGGAGCCAGAAATCTTTCTGATTGAGAGGGGGTTAAATACTTGTTTCCCTCATTAAAATGCAAATCAATTTATAACATTTTTGACATGCGTTTTTCTGGATTTTGTTGTTATTCTGTCTCTCACTGTTCAAATAAACCTACCATTAAAATTATAGACTGATCATTTCTTCGTCAGTGGGCAAACGTACAAAATCAGCAGGGGATCAAATACTTTTTTCCCTCACTGTATTGTGCAAATCATTGCTCTGAACAGCCCAATGACGTTCAGTCTGGAGGTTATGTAGTGAATAAACTGGTTTTATATTCTTGGTTCTTTCGGTAAAGTCACGTAGAAGGGAAACAATAAAATAATAAAAATCCAAAACAAAATTCTCACGACGTTTCGACTGCAACACAAGCAATCATCAGGTGTGAAAACCACAGCAAGAAAATTTGGTTATTTTTACTTGTGCATTGTAAATGTTGTTTTGTCAGAAGGGCCTACAGTAGTTTTATGCAGTCGGCTGACTCAATGTAGCTTAATCATCTCTGTATTTTGCACCTGGGTGTAAAATGCTATTTCTTATATATTGCAGTAATAATGGTCACCTACATAAGTAACTAAATGTCTGTTTTGTATTGTACGCTGTTTCGCATTGTTATACCATACCTCTCAAAGGGGGGCTCAAGAGTATGAACAATGTCTAACAAAGTCAACCATTACCACTTTAATGTATTAAAATAACAATGTTTAACCATCTGTCAATCCACTGCTTGATGGAGGCATCACCATTTGTTCAAGGTCGGAAATAATGGCAGACAGCACGTGAACGTCCTTTATGTAACGTTGAGTAAGCAGAGCGAGATGGGCTAAAGATTTATTCAAAGCCCTTTGTCATTCTCCCATTTCCCAAATACGATTATTACTTATGGGTAAATCGCAAAATGTAAGAGTACCGTAAAACATTTTTAGAAAAGAGATGACGTCAAATCTCAAAAGGGCATTATCTGGTTAAATATTGTACGGAGTGTTGTTTTGTTTATGGACTTGATGGTGGGACGTTAACACAGTGATTCGAGCTCTGCACTCTGAACCCAGCAAATCAATTGTACTGTAAACATTCCATAGGCCGCGAATCCCTGTAATTTGTGGATTATTGGCGGTTCGCAAATGTTCCCATGATCCATAGTGTATCCCCGCGGCGGTTCAAAACGCTTGGCGGACCACGATTCATAGAGGTGGAGCTGCAGAGTAATATGGAGGTAATGTTTATTTTTGGTTTACATTACACAGACTAGCCTTGCTAACGTATTTTGTATAGTAAGACTTCAAGATGATTTTTGCAGTTTTCATACTTGCGTATCAAGTCTAAAAATGAAAAAAATAACCTTTACCCAAAATTTCGTTAAAATCCATAACCTATTAATCCATTAAAATATTGCAGATTATTTGAATCGTGCAGCTAATTCCTCCCATAATCCGTGGCACACTGCGTTGGCGTGAATTTATTTGTGGATTGTAGGATTCGCAATATGGTTCAACCCCAGTTCAATGTGGATGATTTGATTCCTGCTATGGGTACCATTCTTGGGCACGACCAGGAAAGGTACTACAGCAGGAATCAAATCCTGGGCACGGCCAGGAATGGTGACGAGTGATATCTGAATTGGTCACCGGTCCACACTAGCCAGCATAGTCAAGTATGGTCACACCTCCCCCCCCCCCCCATAGTGCAGAAAGTTTAAGATATTAAACATATCTTTGGAAGATCTCTGCTGAAAACCTTACGTGTTTTGCCAAGACCAATAACTTGAATCCGCTATGAAGCTGTCAATCAAACCAATCAATTTCTAGTCTCAGAGTTGGAGTGAGCCAAATTAGGTGAAAAGGCAAATGTTTGTGCGATAATTGGTGACTGGGCTGAGACTATCAACTCGCTTGCACTTTAAGGAACCCGGAATTGAGACCAGAATCTCAGCGGTACTGGCTCTGATCTGACCGTTGAACCTCCCAGTCACCTCTTCACCTATTATGGTAGACCATTTTATTGCCTGGAAAATATTTTATTGGCTCGTGTTAAAAAGGAGCAAATAAAAAAAGTAGCAGTTAAAGCCTGGTCAGTGTTTTATATTTGTTTTAGTTCCCCATAGTGGTGTGCTTGACGAAGGTATAGTCAGCGTTTTACTTGTCTTGCTGTGGATTGCAAAGCCAGTGCGTGTTCACAGCAAAGCTCAGCATTTTCTGTGCTGCAAGGTCGCATTGAATGTGTGCGGTGCAAGTGTGTGGTGGGTGTTCAGTGATTACGCAGCAGGGTTCGCTTGTTTGCTAAAAGCCAGCTCAAGAAGGAGTTGTCATCGCGAGACCTATTTAAATAAAAGTGTATTTGAGTGGGTTTATATTTGTTAGTTTTCCAATAGTTTGTTATTAACCTTGAGAGCAGGGGTTGTGTTAGGAGGGTTAAGTAGGATAGTACTCCAACTCAATGCATAGGGGACACTTTGGGTGCAATAGATTTTGCAGCAGAGAATATCTTTCATGCTATGGCGAAACCATAATTATGATATAATTGGTGAACATTCTCAGTAAATGAAATGGTTATTATTTCGTTCAGTTTGTTTAGAACCCCGTGATATATTTCTTCAAAGATATCTCTCTAGGTTAGTTATCACTTCTTTCATATAACCTAACGGTAATTTAAACATTTTTAATACTGGTAGGAACGAAGTTGTAAACTGAGTGTACCAGCCTGCAATAGATTAATGTGTCCGTCCGTCCCCTTTCAATACTTTAACGAAGTGAAATCTCGTGCTGTTGGGTGTAAAATCAGCAATAGACATCGCAGAGACTTGATATGTCTTATACTGGTAGGAATAAGGATTTCACCATTCCATTCCTCTACAGAGGTTAATTTGTCCGAAGAACCCTCAACGATTTTGAGGGCAAAATGGTGGGAAGACGCTCTCAATTTCCACAATTTTACGTAACATTGTCATGAAATTGCGCAAAATTCCAATATTCCTACCAGCCCACCCTGCAGGGACCTGTTTATAGCCTATTACACTGCCCTTAATGGACCGATCCTTAAAAGGTACAGTATTTAACGCCCACGACATTGGTAATTCGCCACAGACATATCAAGCGTCTGCAGAAATGGACCCATTATGTCAGCTGGTCAGTTGCAATCTTTTTCCACAACTTCACACTAACCATTGGGTTTCCCAACCACTGTAAACAAATGTGCTGTTGTGTACATGGTGAGCCCTTTGTCAATCCATTGCCCGGTGAGAGCCTCCTCGCACAGTGTCGGGTCGTTTTGATTATTTGTGCCGTAGTTTACCATGGTGGTCAGTGCGGGTTGTTGCAGGTGGGGAGTGCGTGGTGTGTAATAAATATTTAGCTGGTCCTCAATGAGTGGGCGAGTTATGTCAATTCTAATGATGTTCTAGAATAGCTCCATAGCTGAAATTTTGCACAAATTAAATCAGTTATATAACTAGATTAATCTAAACACTTTATTTTGGGTTCACACTTTATAATGTTTTGTTTTTTGAACTTAGACTTACAAAGGTTCTTATCGGAAGGTTTTGATTGATATTGAATCCAAATTAAATCTCAGATTTTCACAATCACATTTTCAGTGTACTTTTTGAAGAATGTGACACTAAAGTCAATAAATAGCATGACCAGACCATTCATTGGTGTACTGGTTTATTAACACGACTGTGCTTTTTGTCTTACCTTGCCTTTCCCCTTTCAGGTTCCCAGACGGGAAAGATATCAGCGGTGAACATAATCCCCTGTCCTACCCAGCCCTGCATTCTCTGCAAGGACAAAACCTACAACATCAACGTGACCTTCACCAGCGGTGAGCAGCAGACACGTCGCCTTGGGTTTGGGAAAGCGCAGGAGCTGGTGGGAAAATATATGGATCAGTATAATAGTAGTTGTGATTGTAAAGGTTTTTTTTTTATTATCAGCAGAGAGGAGATTGTGACATCGCTGCTTGAGCCAAGATTATTCTTTGAGCTGTGCCACACGAATGTGCATTTTCCACCCCAATCAGGGCATGCCCACTAAGATGATTTTTTGAGCTGTGCCGCACGAATGTGCATTTTCCACCTCAATCAGGGAATGCCCACTATGGAGAAAGCATTTAGCATGGTTGATTTTAAGGGATAATATATAGCTTGTTTGAATTACCATGCCTAGCTGTGAATAAATTATTGTTTATAGTTAATATATGGATTATGTTATGTTATTTGACCATGGGGAGAGCCAGACGACATTTGTTTTGATTTTAATGACTTGCATCGGTAATTGTAGTCAATAGTAATATTTACGAATGGTGGACAGCCTGTGTCCTATGGACGGGGTGACATGACGCTCGTATGACATTTACCCGGCCCTAGTCATTCTCAATGTCTTTCTGTTGCCTTTGACCACATCAGGCAGAATGTGCCAAATGTTGTTAGATCTTGGATGATAATGCGGATATGAGCCTGGTGGATAGTGCTTGCATGGGTGACTACCATACACAAACAGGTGGCGGCATTGCTAGCGTGGGTGGGCAGCAAAAAGTAGTCCAGCACAAGCCATTGTTGTACTGTACTTGTCTGCATCCATGTCTATGGTCCCCCTACATTCACTAACCTGCACTGACTGAGGTGTGGTCAAAGAATCTCCATTACATGCAGAGGGCTGAGGAGGCCCTCATTCAGCAGTGGTTTGATTAAAGGACTGTACATGCACATTGTTACTTGTCACACACGGTATTTCGTGTGTGAGTCACCAAATTCTCCCTTGATTGTTTTTTGTGATGCGTGCCCTGGCTCACACTTCCTGCTCCCCAACCCTTTCAACCTTGTTCCCCGAACCCCAACAGACACGGAGAGCCAGGGCTCGACGGCGGTGGTGCACGGCATCCTAGCGGGGATCCCCATCCCCTTCCCCATCCCCAACAACGATGGCTGCAAGTCGGGTATCACATGCCCCATCGCCAAGAATCAGGCCTACATCTACGACGTGGGGCTGCCCGTCAAGTCCGACTACCCCAGCGTGAGTCTCCCATAGCCACTCAGCCGAGCGCCATCTTTGCACCATGGCCGTGTACTAAACTAAACTAAAGCTATCAACTTAAACTATTTTATTTTACTAGGTAAGGCCCACTGAGCTATATAACAATTTCTCAGAAGCGACCTGGCCACAAATGGTAGCTCAATGAAGTGGCTTATGTGGAAATTTATCGCAGCCAAATACTCTTAATGCATGTTTCTAAATTCTCGACACTGGGCACCATCATCTGTGGTGGAAGCTTACAATTTAAGCCATAATTTTAAAAGTACCGGATCATTTCCAGAACATTGGCTCCTAAACCAACAAAGCTCGATACATTGTTGTGTCGAGCTTAAATCTGAAAATTTACCAGTGATTTGTATTTATTAGCAGGCAAAACGAAACATCCTCTGACAACATACCACTGTTTTTAATATTTCTGTGGTCTAACTTATGTCTTTATGATTTTGTAAGTTTACAGATTGCTCGAGGATGCCTGTGAAAATTAGATGTTTAACCTCACGTCGGTATTCTCTGAACAAAATGTGACGAAGCATTCCCCTTGAACCATTACAATCACTCTCGGTTTTCTCACCTGGTGTAAACCACAAGAAAATCTGTTTAGTTGATTGGTTATTTCACTTGATGTGTTTATTTGTGAAGCTAAACTAGTCAAATATTCTAAACGCATGTTTCTAAATGTGGAGAAAAAAACCGGAGAAACATCCACACAACCACGGGGAGAACATGCAAACTCCATATATACAAGTGTCAGGGTCAGGATCGAACCCACAATCTCCTGTATACCAGATGAGATGGTTAACATCTCTCCAGCGTGGCTGATTTGCTTTTCTGTGCCGTTTCAGATCAAATTGGTGGTCAAGTGGGAATTGAGGGACGACAAAGCAAACGATCTTTTCTGCTTCGAGTTCCCGGTGGCCATCAGCAGCTGCTAAATCCATAGCACAGCAACCAAGGCGGAGTGTGACGACACTTGCTTGTTGTCACTTTGCCTTTAGACGGTTATGTGATTTGTCTAATTCATGACCCTGATCATGTGATGGATTGATTTCATTGAGTCAATGCAATACCCTGGTGACATAATCTATTTCTTGGCCCTAGTAATTCTATTGACCTAATCTGTCACCCCAGTCATGTGATCTATTGTACACGTTTTTGATAAAATTCTTTTTTTATGGTTACCAGGTCAGCTTTATTATACTTAACAGATTTAATGTGTACATTTAAAGACGTTAAAATTATGAGTTTTAACAGTTTTTTTTTTTATAAATGCTCACAGTGCCTTCTACTGACCTTTTTAATACGAATGTTCAATCCCAGGAATAATGAAATAAAGTGCTGTTTTCAAACGTTAGCTTGGAGTTTGCATCTATAGCACTGGTGGATAAAGAGTTTTCAAATCAATATGGGGTGATGGATATACTCTTTCCTAAGTGCAATGGAGTCTTTTTAGGGGACCCCTAAAAATGTTAACTTGATTTCTTTAAATGGAAACCCCGTTTTTTGTCAATTAAAAATGGAACGGCATGCAAAGTTATGCAATTTGTCACACCAGGTAGTCCTGGCTAAGTATTGTAGTATAAAGGTGACGATTGTACTGTTCCAGAATTGGCTTGTGGTTTAAATGGTGTTTTCACCATTGATTTCAGTATTACAAAGCCTAGAAATCAAAGCTGTGAAACTGCTACATTTGGTCTAGATGGAAATAATGAGGACTTGTTAAGAAAACGGATCTCCCGGGGCACATACGGATCAGAAACATGGAACGTTCACAAAAAAACCTGAGAAATCGTGGATAGACGGTTCATACTTTAAATTTAATTGAAAGTGGAAATCGTGGGTCTGAGAACATACACAGGCTTGGGCAAGACACTTGAAAGGGGGATGATGGCTCGTGGTTGATGGTAAGGATGGAGGGAGCCCGAGAAGACGTCTTCCATGGAGATTGCGTGATGAATTCGGTTTGTGTGCTGCAGCAGGATGGTTTAATTTCAAGACTGACCGATTGCTTAGAGAGGCCTTCAGCAGTGGATCGAACATGGCTTATTTTTAGAGCGGCCTTAACTCAATGCGCTTAACAGTGGTTTAAAAAGCGGTAAGAAACTAGTGATTTATATGACGGGGGTGGGGGGGGCATGCAAGGGCTTAGGAATTGGTGACTGCAACGCAGCACAAAACGGGTAGTGGAGGGCACGGGAAGGAGTGGAGGGGCGAGGGAAGCGGAAAGGAATGGGCAATGGAAAAGAGGTGAGCTTTGAGATGGGAGAGAAATTACGTGATTTTTCTGTCGAGGCTGGGGCGTGTGATGGTGCGTAATTATAAATACATTATTTTCTGACCCTGCGTTAGCCAAAGCACACCTTTTAACTAAAATAAATTCGTCAATAACTGCCTTAAAAAATACAACACAGTCGGCAACGTTTCAGGCAATGATTTTAAACAGCACAATTACGCCCGAGATGAAGACTTTGCGTTACGTTCCTAGGCTACATTATGACCTTATGCAGATGTTTAACCTCGCATCGGGCAAGACGTTTCGTTCCGATGACGTAATTCCGTCACCTACCTGTCGACGTCACGCGGCGGCGCAACGTGTCCCTCAGGCGACATGACGTCACGTGAGCAGGCGGAGCCGCGCGTTTGTCGGGGGTGCGGTTCCAAGAACAGACGTGGAGGTGGCGAGCCACTCGATACGTCAAGACAGAATCACGTGACAGTCATAGGCGGGGGGGGTGCCACGTTGGAACAAAAAACAGCGACGTGACGCGCGGAGGAGGTGACACGTGGAGTGTGGGCGGGGACACGGGGGCCAGTAGAGTCGTGCGATTCGTCAAAATCGCGTCACGTGATTTCTATCGGCGGCGGGGGGAGGCCATGGTCGCGACAGGAAGAGGAACTTGTCACGTGACCCGCGGAGGAGGCGCCACGTGGAGACTGGGAGGGAGGGAGGAGGCGGCGGCGGCGTTTGGCGGCAGCAGCAGAAGCGGCGACAGGACGATGGAGCGGCTTTTCCGGACGGCGCTCGCTCTGCTGCTCCACGCGAGCCTTCTCTCTGCCGCCGAGGTCACCTTCGAGCTGAAGGACAACGCCAAGCAGTGCTTCTATGAGGACATCGACCAGGGAGTGAAGGTGACGCTCGACTTCCAGGTGAGATAAGAGGGGGCGGTCTGCGGCCGCGTCATGGCTGGGCCCGGTGTCTGCGGCGGCGGCGGCGTTTCCACGGCCACGGGGAAGCATGCTGGCTCGGCTCGGTTCGCGAGCTGGTGCTTTAAGATTTTAAGGCAGTGGTGTAGCTACCAATTGTGTGCTCGGATTGCCACCGCTTGAGATACGAAGAAAATATGGGACGTGTCATTGGTTAAAAAATATTTCACAATACAGGAAGACGGGAGAAACAGCGTGTACAGTACATTCATTGTGATGTGTTGTAACGCCACTCCTCAAAACTGCGTGTCTTAAATGTTCCGCGAATACTTTTTAAAACATTTCCCAGGACACCTATCGTAAAAGGCTGACGATCCTGGTTCAAGGCAATAGAGCACTGGTGGAAACCGCCTTCGTGTGCCCCGTGGCGCGATTCCACCGGAGCCCAGGGGCCAGAGCGGACTGTCCCAGGCGCCGGATTGTGACGAGTTTGGGAGGGGGGGCCCCTTGGACAGAGGGGCTGGGTCCCCCGATGGGCCCCCCATTTCACTCCTGGCAACCGGGGACCGTGCCAACCACGCCACGCCACTGACTTTCGCGATGGGTATGGTCACGGAGATGTTCGTACAGAAAGTGGGTTCCATCGTGAACTTGACTGTTAGAAATGTTGAGAGGTTATATCCGTGTACTTTGCTTTTCTAGTGTAGGAAGCCAATGTCTTTATTTTGAACGACAAAGGGTTTTTGACACTGTAGGGATGGATGTTTTTTTCTGGATGAATAAATTACATTTAGAGCAAACCTTTAAAACTTAAAAACTATTTTTTTTATTTTACCAGGTAAGGCTCACTGAGCTATACAGCTCTTTTTCAGAAGCGATGTGGCCACACATGATTTCTCAATGAAGTGGCTTATCACGTGCAAATTTAAAGCAGTCATATACTTTAAAAAGCACGTTTATAAATGTGGAGGGGGAAAAAAACGGAGGACCCGAAGAAAAATTGCGCGACGACGGGGAGAGAGGCATGCAAACTTCAAATATACAGGCATGAGGGTTGGGATCAAACCTACGACCTCCTGTATACCAGGCGAGGTAGTTAACATCTCGCTACCACTTGCATACATACACTTTTATGCACAGTGATTGTTTTCAATGTATACATATGCTTAGCACTTATTAGTTAATTTGGCCAGGCATCCCAATGTAGCAGCAACGCTCCTGAAAAGAGACTTCAGACTCGGTGAGGCATTGCTGGGTAAATAAAAAACAGTGATATTTTAGACTGTAATACCTATGGTGGGGAACAACCACCATAGACTTCCCGCCGCGCAAAGTAGTACGCATTTTAAACGACCCTTTGAGAACTGATGAGCAGAATCACCACCCTTGAAGAAAAAGCATCGAAGTGAGTGTCGAGTGGCAGTCATCTCTCTTGGTGAGCCAGTGGTGTAAATTACACATTCCTGTGGCTGTAGCGAGCCAGTGGTGGAAATTCCACATTCCTGTGGCTCTAGTAAGATTGTTCATATTGTAACCACTGCTGATGTCCCTTGAAGCGTTACTCGATTTTATCAATCCACAAAAAGATGATGAACTCAGTGGGATCCCCCTGACAGGAATTTGAACTTTTGACTCTTCTGTCTTGTCAAGTGCATGAGGCGGGTGGGTGGCAGAATGCAGTGGGATTTCGATTGCCTGCCTGTTGGTATATTCCGTCGTGTATTAAAAAAATATTTTCATTATTGAATGCTGCTTCTTCAATAATCACACTTTGCCTCCTCGTATAATCTCATAACATGTTTGCCAAAATGACCTGAAGCACACACAGATCCCATCAGATCTCCGAAGGTAAAGACGGGTTTACTCAGGGAAACGATTGGATGGGCGACCACTGTGCATTAGGCTGCTGCGAGGGCCATGTTGTGTGCAGCAAAAGGGCAATGCGGCAAAATCCACTGTGGAACTGTACTTCTATGCTCTCCGCCTTCTCCTACCCGTACCGACCATCGTGTGGTGAAATATGGTCAAGTAACCCCCGAGATACGTAGCATGGGGAAGGCCCTCTTCCAGCAGTGGATTGAAAGAATGTAGACTTTTTTTGGTGTGTAAATGTATATAGTCTTCTCTTCCCCCACTGTTAAATTACCCTTTACATGTCCAAATTATAATCCTGTACATTTGCATCTCATTTGTTTACTGGGTTATCTGAATAAGTTTATCAGCCATTGAATTGCCTCCACTTGCCTTGCTGTGTATACAATGCAGTATTTGAATGTCTGTGTGCATTGAGTGTATTTCCCGTTACAACCCACCACATGCACGCATATTGCTCTACTCTGTCATGCTTGTACATGGTTAAACAAAAGAAGCGTGGCGGTTAAAACAAAACAAAGGAGAATTGATTATTTCATCGTGAGCCCGAGTGTTGAGAACCCGTGGAATTGCTAGCAACGGGGGTGGTGGTGGTGAACCATTGTGACCAGTGGAGAGTTTTGTCCCAGTGTTACGTCGGGCCTGCGATGTCCATCGTGATAGCGTAAGCAACATTCAGTTATGGTGCAAGCCTTGGACAAAGGGGAGTTAGTTAGGCTTTGGCGACTCTGCACTAAATTGGTACAGATAGCACCCCAGTGCTATATCGTTGTATTCTAGGCAAAGAGGGAACTGTTACAATGTTTGCCGTGTTCTTCCCCCTTTCTGCTGGTGGATGGTTGTCGTGCGTGCCCACATGTTGGCTCTGTTGTACCCTTGTGCCGTCTTGTCTGCAGGTCTCTGGGCAAATAAGATATCTCTTCTTGCTTTTCAGAGCTCGTGTTTTGATTGGAAATAAGAGTCTCATCCTGAACAAAATGTTATTTTCACACTGTCAGATTGCACATAATAAATAGCGTAATATGAACTGCAATCTTATTGATTGATAATTCAGTTGTCTACAAGCCAATTATACACGAGTCACATGTCATCAGGTTAATTTGCCATTGCAGTTTAAATATTAGATTCAATCAATGGCGGAGCCAGGATTTTCAGGTAGGGGGGCAACCCCCTCCAGCAATGAGAAATGATAGAGGAGTTGTTAGTAAGTAAGGAGTTGTTAGTAAGTAAGGAGTTAGTAAGTAAGGAGTTGTTAGTAAGTAAGGAGTTGTTAGTAAGGAGTTAGTAAGTAAGGAGTTGTTAGTAAGTAAGGACTTGTCCCTTGCCTTTTTATTCGACGCGTGTGCGGCGATGGCACAGCCATCGATCGAGGGTCGAATTCGAACCGCGTGGTGTGATCGGCATCGCGCTCGCTGAAGGTGTTGATGCCTTCAGGGACGTCGTGGACTCTGTATACGCAACTTCGCACAATTCTGAGTCACTTATAACTGCTTTGCCGTTACTTATTGCGAATTATGGACTCGGACTATTGTCCTATCATCTCATAGAGTCCCTGGCACATAATAATATGCTACACATTGGCAGTGGGGGTCGCAAAATGTCGATTTATTACTAATAAACCCCAATGATTCAATCCTCTTTAGACCCTAATGATACAGAATTTGAAAAAAAAATATTTATTTTCATTTCAAATATATTTGTCTTTTTTTCACAAACATTCCAATTGTGCTGTCGCGTCGTGAGTGGGAACAACCCACTCAGTTCTCTCGCTGGAGCAGTGTGACCCCTACCCATGGTAGAGAGTGGTCTGTGGAAAGAGACCTCGCCAGAACCACTGCTACGATCCCTGTTCGAGTGACCCCTTTTATTCGCACACTCGAGGGGAACGCTTTGTTGCTGAAGGATACTTCTTCTAAGCTCGACCCAAAGAGTGACCAATGTCGAAGTAGGAAAACGGTTGCACACAGAAGAAGACTTGATGCACACATGTAGGATGGACAACAACAGGAAAAATAAAAGTGCGGTGTTTTGAAAAATGAAAGGAACCGTAAAGATAGGAAGACCTTACAGGCAATGGCTTGATGACGTACGAGATTGATGCCAGAAAGATGTGCACTATTTGAGAATATTGACACAAGACGAGAGAGGAAAGTGGAAACGAATGACAAAATGTGCAGTGGATACCTACGGGCAATCTGCCCACGGATAGTGACTATGAGAGGGGACGCCGAAACCCGGATTCCATCTCGGCTGTAATCCAAATCCAGTTCCTGAAAATTATAGAGGAAACCCATCGCAACAACAGGAAAAATGCATGCAGGCTGGAAGCAAATAGTCTCAGAGAGGTGCCAGCTCAGCACTGACCTTTGAGTCACCTGGCGACCTCTCCAGCATCTGTATTATTTGTACACAGTAGTGAAATAAATCTGGGATTGTATCTGTGCTTGTACAATGTACGTGTGGACACGTTAAGCGGGTAATTATTCACACCCCCTCATCCCCTCCGCGATTCAAACTATTGTGACAATTCATGGTTGCGAATTAATTCAAGAATCTGTCTTTCCCATTGGGACGAATGCAGCAGACATGTAACGAAGTATACACCAGCCACAAATATTTAAATGTGCATCTGTTATTTATAAGGAATGGTTACTGTAATACAAACAACGCAGTGTCCGCTTAAATCCTTATACATTACAAAACGGGCAAAGGGCCTATCATAACATATCTACTCTGTGACCTAGGGTATAGGGAGGGACTGCGAATTAGGAATCACTGAAGCAGTGGCGTTGTTGGTCTCTAATTTTCCCCATGACATACAACGTAAACATATCAATAAACATAAATTGTTTCACGCGCAATTACATTCTTCAATGCTCGTATCACGAGCGTAAGAATTGACATTGCAGTGCAAAGTCACATGCGACTCGCTGGGGACTGATGTATCGGCGGATATGTGAAAGTCGGGTTTGCAGAAAATGGCATTTGCACAATTGCTTTACTGGGTGTGGGCGGTTAATTGGTCAGGGCGGTTAATTGGTAAGGGCGGTATATGTGACGGTTGGACGAACTGTATTCTTATTCGTTTAACCTCTTAATAATCGGTTCTTTTTATCCATTGCTGGTAATCGAAATTGTAGTTACAAATTAGAAAGCGGTGCTGTTACGTCTTGTTCAATGGACATCAGTTCGCCGGTCTGCCACGTATTCACTGCGGCGAGGTGCGTGGTCGTCGTGGCTTTGTGCCAAGAGCTGTTTGACAAACTTTCTAGCTCTGTCAAATCCCAGTAGTCCGTCATTAAAGTTTGTATTTTCTGCGCAAACACCCGTGTACCTCGAGTTTCTGTTTAACGCTTTTCAACCAACGGTGAATGCGTGAGTGCATAAGCTGCACCTGTATTTACGTAACGAGGTTGGAACGATAACTCTCGTAAAGGTGTCTTATTATATACGTATGTTGAACTTTTTTTGCATGGTACGTAGCCAACCGTACCCAAAGGTTCTGATGTGAATGCAACTTTGGTATACAGTTGTGTTACTGCTAGAGCCTGACCCTAGAGATATTGGATAAATTGTTCAAAGGAAAGGATTAAGCCTTTCCAAGCAAGGTGATGACATCATACACATGTGATGTCATCTGGTTTGCCACGGCCTTGAACACAACGTTATTGTCGCCAATTAAATACTCCCCGGGGAAAAAATGCACGCTGAAGAGCGTTACGGGGATCCCGTGCCCACTGCACGCTCTTTCTCCCTCGTGCTTTTGACGTTAAGTGTAGCCCCGCGCTCTCGAGCGGTATTCGCGCGATCGGACTAAAATCTGACGGGCGTGCCGCTCGCACAGGTCATCACGGGCGGCAACTACGACGTGGACTGCCGGGTGAAGGGGCCACACGACAGCGTCCTGTACAACGAGAACCGCAAGCAGTACGACAGCTACGCGTGGACCACGGAGCAGCGCGGCACCTACGAGATCTGCTTCAGCAACGAGTTCTCGACGTTTACGCACAAGACTGTCTACTTTGACCTGCAGGTCGGCGAGGAGGCGCCCCTCTTCCGTGACGAGGGGACCCGCGTGGTCGCCCTCACGCAGGTAACTCCGCTCGCCCATGTGTCTTTTGTTGTTGTTCTTGATTGTGATGTTTTTCTCCAATTTTATCGCAATTGCGCCATCAACGTCGTGGATTCCTCGCGGGCCACTGCGACCCCTTCCTGTTCGAGAACAGTCCACGGAAGCAGATGTCACAACTCATTCTGAGATCGAATAAACATTGGCAGTGACCCACAAGTACAAACAACTAAACCCATTCATCAATGACAGTGCCCTATATAATTGTTGACGTTTTGGGGAATGGCCCTTCACCATCCCAGAGAGATGGTGTTATGGTCAGCACACTGGACTTTGAATCCAGAGGGTACTGTCCGATCCCCAAAGCGCAGCAGTTGAAACAGTGGGGCAAGTTTCTTCAGTCCTTCCCACCGCATCTGCCCACCCAGCAATGTTGAATGGTTAAAGCACACTTAGTCGATCGGCAGGTCGCGTGTTGTGGGGTAAATTGTGTCTGCTCCCCCTACTCTTTGGTTCTTTCGGTAAAGTCACAGTGACTTTACCGAAGAACCAAAGAGTTTGGATTCCTACAGTCGCGAAAGCTTCAAATCTACTCCACCTCTTCCAAGATTTCTGGCCAGCGTGAAAGAGTAGGTCAAATAAATAAATCTTTATTTTGTGTGTTGTGTGCCAATATCGCCCTCTATAAAGTAGGTACCGGTACACGTTACAACAAAACGGGAACGATAGAGGCACATACAGCAACAGGGATTAAAAATAAGCCTGTCACGCGCTCAGCGGCTAACACTGACCGAGCAGTGGCTTGAGCAAGCAATTGCAGGGCTGCACTTTTACCGTTACCCATACGTATACCCACAATGCACGGTTAGAAAGAAAATGTCCAGACATCCCAGAGTATTCGCTCCTGGACCATAGAGCCAGATGCCACCATAACCAATACGACAACCGCCAACAATTGTTACGTTCCAGCTACTTGTAACAAACACGCACCACCTAAAATTTCCTGTGCCCCATTTCCTTTGTTGCCGTCTTCGTCCCAGATGGAGTCCGCGTGCGTCACCATCCACGAGGGCCTGAAGTCGGTAGACAACTACCAGACGCAGCATCGCCTGCAGGAGACGCAGGACCGCCACCAGGCCGAGGTGCTCAACTCAAGGGTGAACATGTGGTCTATCGGCGAGACGATCATCCTCGTGGTGGTGGGGGTCGGCCAGGTCATGCTGCTCAAGAGCTTCTTCTCGGACAAGAAGGGAGGCTCCACGCGTGTCGGTCTCTAAAGCACTGCTGGGAGTGGGGGGGAGGGGTGGGTGGGGGGCGGGTGGCAGGTGCCCAAGGCATGGTTGTTGGGGGTCAGCAGTCAGCAATTCCTCGAATGGCTCACCATTGTGTTTTGAGGTCGTGCTGCGTGTTGTTGCGTACGATGTCCGACGTTTCACTCCCGAGTGCCTGGGAGCATCTTCAGGAAATGAAACATCCGGACGCAGTGCCGGACAGTGTGCAGTACGAACCAAAAACTTACTCTTTTGGAGGGCTATACAGCACAACCGCTCACGCAGGTGGCAGCTCCTCGATTGCGTTTCTGCGTCGGTCACGGTGAAAACGGGCAGAGGGTCGGAGTATTTACGGGATGGGAAAATTGACGATCATTTTGGGTGTAGTTGTGGTGATTGAGAAAAAAAACGTCAATGCTTTGAAAAGATGACAGTCGATCCACTTGTTTTGTGCCCTGGCTGATGAGAGACGCGATTGTGGATTTACCCTGCAAAGGGGGGAGGGGAGGGCACAGTGTTAATCGCCTGAGTTGATCGAGTGCTTGAATTTGAAAGCAGATTTGGGTGAAAAGTTTTTAAGTTGTTGATTTGGAAGTGAGCCGATATGGGGTCGTCCAAACTCGAGTGCTCGTAATCGACCACGGTTTCCCTTTATTTACGTTCACTGGTATTCTGCTATAATACAAATTCCGTTACACACTGCATGTGCCTGATGATGGGTAACCACATCCCACATGTACTGGAGATCTCTGTATTTAAATTAAGGTAGAGATATTGCGCGCGTGTCTCCCAAGTTAATCGGCACTCTGTAGGTCATGTAGGATGTGTTTAGCAATCATCAGGCGTGGGCAGCAGGTAACGACACAATTTGTATTTGAAAAAGATGACTGGTAATTGTAAAAAGGTGGACCACGCGGGTGGGTCACAAGGGTTGGCGTTTGGAAAACCCTCGACCTAATGTACACTGGACAAGGGTGATACATTTCTTCCAAAAATACCCTTACCAACTGAGATTAGACTTTAAAAAAGTATCTGACAAAATAAACATTTAAGCAGTAAGCATTTAACAATTCATTGAGTCATCAATTTGAAACTGTTATGCACACAATAACGCATGGAATATCACACACCAAGCAACGGGGCAGGAGAGAGTGTTGCCATAGCGATGCATGCCTACTGGCACCGCAGGGCCAACTTCTGAAGCGAATGAGCTTTATAAACGTTCGCTACGTAAAGAAAATGGTAAGTATGTGAAAATAAAATGCTGCACGAAGACAAAACTAAAAAGTGGATTCTTTAGTCCAGATTAAAAGTAGATTGCATCCATAGAGAGATGAAGACCAGATTGAAATTGAACCAAACCTATAATAAGACTTGCATTCAATTTGAGAAAACGTTGGGGAACATGAACACCGCTCCAATGTTGGGTTCTGGGAACTTGTGTGTCAGACTACTTGTGAATCAAAATGATTTGAGTTGTTGGCAACTTCTCCAGGAAACTGGCATGGCTCAGCCACTGGTGCCCCAGTAACTGTTGTGTGTCTGGTCTGACCTTCCTGGTGACATCAAAGTTACGTCTGTAAAGAGTGATGTGACTTACACCTTGAATTGTTTTTTTTTACTGATAAAATACAAACATAACCAACTGTATGACAGATGCACAAGAGCATTTTGTACTTGGGTGGAATATATTTTTTTGTTATCCATGTCGACGTCATCTTAAGTCTCAAAGGAAGCAAATTCACTGTGGCACCAAGTGCCGCCTAGAATTTCCAAAAACGGGCACCTATTCCCAGTGGCCCACTCACACCCCATCCAGCAATATCAGTCCTGCTAGTGGCAGTAACGATAAGGTAGAAGTAAATATTTTTTTCCAACATTGCGTGTTGAACAAATACAATATAATACATCGCCGCCATCATCGGCCATGGTCCATCCACTGCTGGATGAAGGCTTCTCCAAGCCTAGGCCACCTCTGTCTCACCATGCATCAATCCATGTAGCTCCTGCACACAAGCTGATGCCAACGCTCCACATCTGCGTTGGAAGTAATCCGGGTCACCGCGGCACAGGGAGGTTCAATAACACCTGCCAAAACGTCCCTCTGCTACCTATCTGGCACGTTTGTTAAGCAACGCCGTGGGATTGGAGTTTGCTCTTGAAGAGAGACTTGAGATGATGACGCGAGTACCCATACTGAATATGGGGAGAAAAAGACGGTGTTTTGTTATAAGTTTAAGAAATGCGTAAACATTTTTCAGAAACGTTTGTCCACATGCTGTGATGTTTTAGTACACATCAATCATTGTGGTCGCCCACATGGCGATGAGTACATAATTTAAATAATTTCTAACTGCAATGACGGCGTGCCAGGTTTCGCGAATTGTTACGGTGACAAAAGCTTACCCAGGGAAGCCTCTGCGTGGCCCAGGACTCTCGAGGCAGGAGGGGGGTTCCTGTTGTGTCGGGATGTTTGGCCAATTGCTTTCTAGTTTGGGTTTTATGTGAGAGGAATTTCGGGTACCTGGACAAAACCCATGGCTGAGAGGGGATGGCAACCAGCACTGCCCCCTCCTGGTCACCAATTAATATCTAATTAATAAGAGGCCCCATCACAAACAAAGAGATTAGCGTTCATTATGGGAAAGCCAATAATTGGGTGACAGGGGAGTGTCCATGCTATTGGGAATGTGTGGTAGTACGAGTTAAAATGAAGATTAATACGATAGACGATCGATCGTGTTGTGGGGCGGTGGTTGTTGGCACTTCGGTGAACCCATGGAGTTAAATTCCTGGCCAAGGTCTAACATGGGCGACAAGTGGTTTCTGCAATCCTGGACACCCATTTCGCCAACCTGAACGGACCAGCATGGTTAAGTACGGTAAAACTCGTCCACTCAATGGCTAACACTGCATAAGAGAGGTCTTCATACAGCGGTAGATTAGCAAAGAGCTGCACTTTTCGTTCATGATACGATCGAGAAAAACTTTCTTTGAAGACCAACATATATTCTAATACTTTACGTTTCAGATTCGGATTTGCAATACGATCTGAACAATGTGATCGGGTCCCTTTAAAACAACCGACCCGTACACCCCTCGTACCGTACTCTCCATCCCCAAATTGTAAAGCAAAAGTTGGGGGTGGGGGGCGTCATAATCCAGTCAGTGTGCGACCAGATGTCTACTGCATTAACTGTATTGACTACGGGAACAAGTTAGGGGCGCGTCTTATTCTCCGGAGCGTCTTTTAGAATTATGGTAGTCTTTGTTAACTCAAGTTGAAGTGCGAAGTTGTTGACGGTGGAACCACACATCTTCCAATGTGGGCCTGCTTTGTGACACAAGCCCCAGTTTCCTGATGCTGCAATTTCAACTTCCACAGTGGCTTTGTGTTCCCATGGGCTTTGGATTATGCAGTGTTTTTTTTTATGAATACAAAGTTGGTTGGGACCTTTTTATGCGTGTGTATTGTTTCTTATTTCTGTGCGAGTGCCCTTTTGTGGTTGATGTAAACGGCGGTGCCGGTTGATTTTCACGAATCTTTACTCCCTCGGCAAAATAGATCGCAGTCAGCACTTGGTGTGAAGCTCTCCAATGCAGTCGTTTCGGCTTGTACCACGTGATGTCCAACGTTTATCTGCACGTGCTGGGAGCAGTTCTTCAGTTTCTGAAGAAGCGGCTCCCAGCACGTCGAGGAGAAACTGTTGGATGTCAACGTGCGGTACGATCCGAAAAAACGTCGAGAGCTAGTGGAAACTGTGCGTGTTCCAAGTTGAACTTATTCAATTAAATTTGAGTGCGAAGCAGATGTCTGACCTTTCATACAGCATGGTTGCCCTTGTAAACATACAATTATTTGAGCATTTCACGTTGTATGTGTTTGGTAAAAAAAAATTTGATTAATAAAAACAAACTTAATTAAAACATACATTATGATGTGGATATATGGAATTCTATACTTAAAAGTAGAATTGTTATTCTTGTCCGTCGTACCAGTTTGGAAATTATAAATATCCATTAGTAAACAAGGTGAAGTAAAAATGCTGTAAATTTTTATATCTTAAAATTTACAACTCTATCGAGAAAATTTATCATGGAAATACAAGTTATATTTCTTGGACACTTCATGAAAAAACAAGAGACTGAATGTTTTAACTGAGAAAAACACATTCCTGCGGAGGGAGCTGGTAGGAACGTTGGGTTGCTCGATCAATGGCCAGGGTCAACTGCGGCACGTGGTGTATTCCGCAAATATGCCCGACTGTGAGGGTGGGCACAAGCCGGCGTGAGGTTAAACGTTGAGTTTTATAAGGGCACCACGGGGTGACCAGCCCCTCCCCACCCAGCCCCACCCCTCCCACCCCCTACCCTCCCCACCGTCCCCACCCAGCCCCTCCCCACCCTCCCCTCCCCACCCCTCCCCACCCTCCCCTCCCCACCCCTCCCCACCCTCCCCTTTCCACCCAGTGTTGCACAATTAACCAAAAATATCACTCAACATTTGCATGAAAATAAAAATATCGCCCTTCATAGCACGATAAAAGGCCATTTTCCCAAAAAGTAAATTTTTAAAAATATTTTTTTAAAGGCAGTGTGGTTGAGTGCATTGAGTATTCAATATACAAAATATTAAGTATTAAATAAAGTGTTAAACTTTCACCAACAATGATGGGGGCCCTCCTGAAAAAAGTATTGAGACTCAGTGAGGCCATCCTTGGGCACATTAGGTTATTATTTTTTTATTTTTATAAATTAAGTTTAAATGAGCACAGATTAACTCTCCCAAATTGTGCACTGTAATTATTTCAAACGATGGCATGAAATCTACTGACCTCCACGTACATTTGTTACACTTACACGCAGTACAACACACCGAGTGGAATGCATATTTATTGCAATTAACGTGGTCATATGTACTGCGAGTTTGGTTTCAAATCAAAACACAGCATAATCAGCAGTTTCCTCGACAAAGCTTTTACATTACAACTCGAGAGGGCTACCGCCAATGTTCTACAATGGACAGTAACCAGGGATTAATTTCAGAAGTATCTGTCTGGGGTGGAATGGGGTTGACAGATGGTGAATCACTGTTGGGTGGGAGATTAGGATAGCCCAGAAAATAATCCATGGGATATTAAGCCCTGACGATAACCTTTGGTGTACTGTTTGAGATAAAAGCTTTACTTTTTCACCTTTAAAAAGATTTGAAAGTAGATTTTGTATGCGTGAAGAAAAATGAATGAAACACCCATGGTGAGGAGTCGCCAGACAGAAACACATTAACCTTTAAGGCGACACACGTAATTTATAGCTTGTTTAATCTGCGTTAGGCGTTACAACCAAGAAATAATGACCAGCGTGAAGTATGGTAAGGAAGGTATGGTAAAATGACTCCCATAACTGACATGGTGTGGGGAGGCCTCCAACATGCAGTGGAATGACAAACGGCCGTTAAATATAGTTATTATCACCAAGGAGTGTGCGGAGTCTGTGACAGGTTTAGTGTGAAAAGACTGGCCTACAACTTGCAAGGTAGGGCACTGTTTCCTGCATCAACCCTAATTCCAGTTTGAATAACAGCCAGGTAAACTCTCTGGGCCACCCTGCATAATGCAGCAGTTGCCAATGTACAAGTAGTAATATGTTTTTGGGTTGTACTGTGTTTGCCATGACGTACAAGGTTTCGCTCCATGTTTTGGGAGCTTCTTCAGTTTCTAAAGAAGCTCCCAGCACGTGGAGTGCAACGTCTGGAAGTCATGCCGAATAAATGTGGTATAACCCAAAAACACATTGAAGGGCTATACAGTACGACCGCGACAACCTATGAAGTCGTACGCGAGTAATTTTGCCTCCGATGCGAGGATGAGTGTGCAAAAGTGAATCTCCACTCATTTCTCAGTCGCGTTATTCCGCGGTTGCAGCGTCTTGGACACCATGTCCTTCCACTGCTCGTCGGAGAGCTCCTGTGCCCAGCCCGGCACGGCAGGCAGCTTCACCATAGCCATTGTCTTCTTCACCAACTCGACATGCTCTGCACAGCAAACACGTGTACGCGCGCACACACCTCCGATTAGCACCAATCAGAATATTTATCAGAAGCTTAATTTAGACTGGAGGAATCTAAAGAGCTATGAAGCTCTTTTTCACAGATGTCCGGTAATTGATACGTCCATAATAAAGCATGGGTGGGGAGCCTATGGCCCACGGGACACATATGGCCCATGACTTCAATTTACACAGCCTGTGGCCACATCTGGTCTCCCACTTGAAAATGGCCCTCATATTGATATTTACTGGCGATTCAAGCATTTTAGCCACAATAACTGGATTTTATTTTAGTCTATTAGCTGATGTCTTCTCTATACGTCTGTCAATTATGTACTCGAGGGGAAGATGTTTGACCTGGCAAACACTTTCTATGTATAGCACTCTCAGTCACTACTGTCACTGCAAGGGCCTTTTGGTATGACAGGAGTTACTGAGATGTATGTGTTAATTTCTGACCAACCGGAAAAGGTTCCCCATCGCTGTAATAAAGGATGGGTATATACAGTGATCTAATGTGCCTATAAATAATGATTTTTTTTTATCTAAGCCAACCGTGCCAATTGCAAACTACCTGGTAGGACATATGGATAAAAAAAACATGGGCACTGATGAAATAAACTTGAACAAAAGCTGAAAAGTACACTAAAAAGTCAATACATATGGAAGACTATTTCCTGCATGAGATGCAGTCGCCACATTGGGCATGGTGCATGTGAACTCGTCTCATGAGACAAAACCCAACTCTGAGATTGCTGCACTTTTCCACATGCCTTTCCATGGATATTAATTTAATTCGTAGAGCTCGAATTTACACCAAATTTGCAAAATTGGTGACTAGCATGAGACCATCAACCAACTCATTTGAGAACCCAGGTTAATCAAGGGTGCTGGTTCAATACCCCGACTCCTGAGCTACCTGGCCTTCCCACTTGATATATAAACATCGGGTTATCAAGCACACATGTACCGTTGTCCATGTTGATGGCCTGGCTGGAACAAGCACCTGCAGCCTCTGCATCATCAACTTCATCCTCACTGTCTGCTGGTGGTGGGGGTAGGTACAGCCCCATATCCTGCAACATCAACCACAAAATAAGGTAAATGACTCTGCTGTCTGCCCATCTTGTTGATATTTCTAAGCTTTGTCTCCAATGTTATCATCATTGTGCATGCTATCTATGTCATGGGACAAAATACCCATTCGAATCTCGTACAGCAGTGCGACCCTTCATTTTTTGAGAACGGTGCACGGAAGTGGATATCGCAGAGCTACCTGAGATCCCATAAAGTTACCTCTGGTCCAAAAAGTAGGAGACAGCACTTTCCCACCCGCCCTGCCACATACAGGAATGTTTGCCGCATGACGGTGAAACTGATGTTTTTTATTCTATGAGCCGGAATTAGCCTGCGACGTGGGCAGGGGATAGTAATACAGCAAGTGGGAAAGTGGGCCTATTTGCGTGTTATCCACTCGTATGTGTGGTGGGTTTTCTCTAGGCACCGTGGTTTCCTACAGCGTGATTGAATGGAATTCATGAAAACATCCCAATGTAGCAGGGCCCTCCTGGAAAAAAAGTCTAGAAACTCAGTGAGAATTTGCTTAATGTACATGAGCAAGGTTCTTCTACCAAAATAACAACAGGAGCCATTTCTTTCGAATTCGGCAAAAAAATAAAACTGAACATTTCACGAGCCCCAGTGCACTTGGTGAATAGGAGACGGCGGTCCTTAATAAATAACGTCATGAAGCAGCCCTTAAAGAGCCACACGTAGCTCCAACGCCGCTGGTTGCAGACCCCTGTACATGACTGATATTCGTATTATCAATAATAAGGATCTGACCAAATATCCAAAATGTGGGACCCCTTGGGTTAAAGGATTTGAGACTTTCCTGGATAGATATCAGGATTTTTTTTATTTAAAGCTTTCGTGACTGCAGTAATTCATATTCTTAGCTCTTTCGGTAAAGTCACGTTGATCAGGATTATTATGCACAGATTTACAGTACTTTATATCAAAACAA